GAGATCCTGGGTACCATGAAGACATTATTACCAGAGGATGATAATCTGGGATGGCATCTTTTGGTGACAGACTTGGGGAGCATTTCCCAGCCAGTTGTACAGGGACAGACAGCAGTTACATGCACAGAAATTCCTGACAGTTGCAGAAGGGCTCTTCAAAAATGAATCTGGAGAGGCCTATTATCTAAATGGTGTGACAGAGAGGAGCAAAGGGGAACTGCCCTATCATGTCAATGTCGAATGGCGATTGCATCTTATGGGCCAGAAGGGCTATCTAGCTAGGAAGGAGAGGCCCACAGAGAGAAAGACACCCCCATGTCCAACCCACCAGGGCATTCATGACTCAAAGGCCTCTTTTGCATTTTCACAGTATCACCCCATCCCCAGTGCACTCTCCTTCCACCTTTGGTTCCCCTCAACTGCATCCTTCTTTCCTCTTCTTCATGTGGGTAGATGGAGAGTTCTGAAGAAGGGAGATTCAGGTTTAGAAGTCCAATAAACTACCCAGACATTTCTAAGGGTGAGTTTATTAAAATGCTCCTACCATGTGGAATTACAAACAGAGCCAGCAGGACTTGTAAAAATAAAACCAGATATGGTTTGGCTAAAGAATAAGGAAGGCATGACCTTAGATGGGTGCTTGCTCCCCGCCAAACTGTCCTGTCAGCAAGCCAAACCAAGTGAGATTTGCATGATTCGTACCCCTCTAGGATAATATACTATACTATAATATCTAGGATATTAGAGGGTGCCAGTTGTACCCTGTACAAGGCAGGTGAGAGAGCATAAACCACCCACCCTCTCTTCACCAAGCCTTAGAGGGGATGTGGGGCTGCTTCAGTCCAGAGAAAGGTGCATCTCTTGTCTTGTCTGGCCAGAGAAGGTGATTTTCTTAATTCTTCATCCTACAAGAACCCCTTTTTCATAATCCAATCAAAGCCACTGTGTAGGCTGGCAGCCCCCGTGTGCTTTCTCTTGGGAGTCCTGGATCTAAGAAACATCAGGAAGAAGGAAAGAAGGAGCAGAGGGGATTCCTCATCTCTGTCACAGGTTTCTACCTAATGTTTAAATAACAACATTCTCTCTAGCTTACATAGCCCTGACCTGGTCTCAAGACCCTAAAAATTTTATAGAACTATTTTTATTATGATGGAGGCCAGTTTCTTCTAAAAAAAGAGAACATCAAATCCCTTAGTAACTCAGCTGGCAGTAACCCAGCTGGACTCTACCAGGATCACCAATTTCTACCAGTGAGTGAAATTGAGATGGGCCCCCAGAGACTGCCAAGGGACCATGGAGGAATCTCATTCATTAGACAGTGTTTACTGAGCACCTAATCTGTGCAAGGCACAGAGGGGCCTGGGATATAGTATTGCACCAGTCCTGGCCACTGCTGTCAACAGTTTCCCCATCCATATGAGGAACTAAAACAAGCAACTACAGCTCAGAGGAACAGTGCTATATCACATGTGGCCCTCATTCTTGAGTGAATGAATGGGTGAAAGTGAATGAATGAATAAAGTACAGTGTATTCTGCTATCCTGATCTAGGGGATCAGAGAAGACTTTCTAGAGGAGGTGATATAAAATCTAGAGGATGAATAAATCTAATTGTGTCCATGGGGGAGAAAGGAAGTGTTCTGTGCAAAGGAAACAGCATATACAAATAACCTGGGTTTGGGAGAGAAAGACACGATGGCAGAACCGAGAAAACTCAAATTGGTCAGCTTAGATCATGACAGCTAATGTGAAAGTGTGTGGGAGAGATGAGATTTGTGAGGTCTGCAGGGCTGGTTTATAAAGTAATCAGGGCTGGGTTGCACAGGAGATTGTAATCCATATCAAAGAGTTTAGAATCATGCAAACAAATGGGACTTTTAAACAAAGAGAGGTTGGTATTTTCACATAGCACGGTCAACCTAATGAGAATGTTGCAGTAATACCCTTATCTCTGTTTTCTGGTAATGATGGAAAAGTACGCCTGAGGAGTTCTCAGTTCTAACCGAATAAATCATAGTTGGGTGGAGAGAGTGTGAAAATTTCCCTGTGAGTTCAGGGTGCAGGGCTAAGAATGTACAGAAGGCAAGGTGACATTCTTCATCCACCAATCTGAAAGGACATCAAACTTGAAATCCCTACTCATGAGGTCCTGTAACACATCGGAAAAAATGCTTTGAAAGTAGACAGCAAAACTGAGGACAACTAACTGGGAGAGCAAACACCCAGCCTGGATGCCCCCAGGTAACAAGCCACGAGACACTGGAAACCATTGCATTCACAGGCCTCTGCCCTTGAATTAGCCTCTAGCCTAGTTCCCTTGAAGATGGACTTGCCTGATTCACCTGTGATATACTTGCCTCCTACACACTCACCATCTCTTGAACAGAGATTCCCTGAGCCCATCCCTGGAACAAGCCCCAGTCCGAAAGCTCAGGTTCCAGGGTCTAGCTTCCTAGCACCATACTTCTTGATTCCTGGCAGAGGCAGCGGTGGAAAAAGCACACGTTATCATTAAACTTCACAGCTAGCAGACATGTCCTCCCAACTGCAAACCAGAAGGCAAATAGCAGCTCAGTGGGAATAGGATCTATAAGTTATTTTAAAACAAATCTCACTAGAAAACTCTACCTTGGCTAACTTACTTTTGAGGTCTTACTTCCAAGGCAAGCTATCCTGACCACCAAGAAGGTAAAATGGCAGCTGCACTGGGTTGAACTTGGCAAAACCAGACCATCACCTTGTCTATGCAGAAAGCCTCCCAGGAGAATCCATAAAAGAAACCCTGGGGCCCTCCATCCCTACCCCAGGAATTGACACTCTAAGCTGCTGGAGTTATCTCTATTATTCTCAAAGTTCCAGTGTCTCTGTGTCTCACCCTTGTGGGAGGCAGAAATGGTATGGAAAAGCCTAGCAATCTCCCTTTACTGGGCCCAAGAGGCATGGGATGGGCAAGTGGGTGGGGGTAGACTCTTGGTGGTGAGGCTTTCATTTGTGTGAGGCCCAGAGCCAGGCTACAGAAAAAGGTCTGCTATTCTGCAGTCTAAACGTTCATAAATCAAGTCGGTAAACACGGATAGACTATGTCTTCCTATCTTGCCAAACATCTGCAAAATGGCCTGAAAATCAGCTTTGAATTCAGAATCCTCCTCAGAGCCAGGACACGAAGTGACAATGTGAGGAGAACCTGCCCAACGGCTGGGCTCCTCCCTTCTCTTTCTCACTGCTGGCACTGGGCTGGGCCCCATGCACATATACACGGGTGCCTCTGCATGGACATCTGAGTTCTATCCAAAAGCAACCCTTGTACTAAGAATATGCATATCCTTGAAGCATGGTCCACTCATGAGAAAACAAACCCACAGATGAAACATATAAAAACCCAGGAAGTGGAGCTCAAGGACCATACACAAAATCCTGGGGTCCCAGGTACCCACAGAGTGGTTGGGTGGGGGGAGTGTTCTTCACGGAGCGTCCTCCTGGCATCATAGATTCCTTGAGTTATCGCTAAGGAATGCTCAGGACTAGGATTCCTCTTGCCCACAACTGAGGATGGTGCTGTAGTCAGGAGCCAGAACCAGACTCACCGTGTCATCCCAGCCATGACACTGATTTGGAACATTAAAGGAAACCACCCATTGTGCTACCACAGCTCCAACTGCCTTTCCAGTGATGGCTCTCCATCACCTCCTCTACTCTATCATCTGCCCTAGATCAGCACAGAACTGGGTCCTAGGGGCCAGTCTTCATCCCCAATTAGGCTAAAACCATATCCTCAAGCCCTTATCGAAGCAGTCAGTTGCTAAGCACCCTCTCCTTCCTCCATGAGCCCTTGAGGTCCATCCCCAAGTCCATGCAATGCTGTAGCCCCATGTACATACACAGCAAGGGTTTCCTGATCCAATTGGGACATGAAGTGATGTGACTAGGTTAAATTAAATCCCTTGAATGAGAAAACCAAACAAAATGGATGCTCCCTCCTATCAAGAATGCTAAAAAAAAGAACCCCAAAACTCAAAGTTCAGGGCCAAGTGTGAGGATGTGCAGAAAGGTGTGTGTTTTTTCTTGTCATTTGCGACTCTGATGATGGACTCACGTTGCCCGCTCTTCCCTTTCTCTTACACCTTACCTACTAAAGGAGGAGTTCTTGCTTGGTAAGTGGATATAATCCGCAAAGACATGAGAGAATTTATTAGAAGCCACTCAAGATCCTTAGCTATCTTCTACAAGGGGAAAAGGACACACACAAATATCTGTAGAGACCTTTTTTTGTTTGTTTGTTTTCAATCAGACTATTTGACTTACATTTATTTTGCCCCTCTCCTTTCTTTTCCCCTTCAGTTGAAAACTGTTCAAATGTCAATTTGCGACCATGACTTTATATTTTTGAAAAGACACGCGCACACACACGCGCACACACACACAAACGCTCATCTTTATTTCATTGCTTTTCCCCACGTGACATTTATTCAGGGTTCTATTCAGGCAGCTTTTTCTTTTTTTTTTTAAAAAAAAAAAAGCTACATTAATTGAGGTTTTGGTTGAAGTTTAAAATTTTGGCTTTATCTCCTTTTTTTTTTAATTTCCAAGATATATTTTTTTCAGGCCCATAGCCCCATTTCTTTTCCCTCTTCCCCTTCCTTTATTTTTATTATTGTTTTAGATTAGGGGTATACGTACCCCTTTCTATTGAGTTGTCTCTTTTGTTTCCGTTAATTCATTAGAAGTTAAATTTTGTATAATTTCCTTTTGCTTTTGTTTAATCTGGATCGCATGCTTTTTCTCTGCATGATACCTAAATCTTCCAGTTATCCTAGCAGGGGGTAAAAACATATCTCCTGTCTGTGGTATTCTTTCAGGAATTTGTGCTTTTGTTTTTTGGCGTCTCTTCTTTCTTCTCCTCTCTCTTTCCTTTCGTTACAGTGCATCATGACGGTAAACATTCTCAGTTATTTAGACACGGCCCAGCGCTCAGCAGTGTCCGACGGGTCTTTTTGCTTTCAGATCACTGGGTCGGGGTCTGCCGCTGACCTCTTTACCAAAACAGCCAGTCCGCTCGCCACCTCCCGTGGACGCTCCCAGGAGTATGACTCAGGCAATGACACGTCCTCACCACCCTCCACGCAAACCAGCTCAGCCAGGTCTCAGGGCCAGGAGAAGGGGAGCCCTCGTGCGGGTCTCAGCAAAAGCCAGGAGCTCAACAGCGGCAACACCTCGGATTCAGGGAATTCCTTCACCACCTCCTCACCCCAGAACAAAGGGGCCATTCTGGAGAATCTCTCTCCCCCCAGCAGGGGCAGAGAGTCAAGGTCAGTGTCCTTGGTTGGGGGAAAGGGTCTCGGCTTTCTCTAGTCAGTCTTCATCCCCTTCCCATGAGTCTTACTTTCAAGCAAGAGAAAACTCAACACAAGCTGACTTTTTTTTTTTTAATTCCAGGAGCACTAGCTTCAGGGACAGCAGGATCCAGGGGCTCAAAACAGCCCTAGGGAATCTGTACTATCACATCTCTTGGTTCTGCTTTCCCATTTGGTTGGCTTCATTCTCAAGTAGACACCCCCAGGGCACTGGCAGATGTGCTAAGTAGCTGATATTCAGTTGGGTTAGCCCTCCAATAAGACAATTGTTTTTCCTAAAAAATTACCATAAGACATCAAGGCAAGTGGTTATTGGCTGCACCTGGCCCAGCCTAGGTCATGTGCTCAGCCCTAGACCAAGCACTCTAGCCTAGGGATGCTGTGCTCTTGACTAGAACATGTCACATGCCACAGCTGGGACTAACAAGTACACCGTTCCCAGATTCATCTGCAAGCAAAGCTAAGGTATTGATATCAGAAGGCTGGAGGCTCTGCAGACAAAAGTGGATGCCAGTTTTATCAATAATCTCAGAGAAAAATCTAACATGAACTTAATTTTAAGTCACGGCCATTTAAAAATATACCATAATATTTACTTAAATGAATTGAAAATATAGCCACACAAAAACCTTCACATGGGTATTTGCAGAAGCTTTATCTGTAATTATCAGAACTTAGAGGCAACCAAGACATGCTTCAGTAGGCGAATGGATAAATAAACTGTTATATCCAGACAATGGAATATCATTCATAAATAAAAGAAGTTTCGGGGCTGGGGATTTAGCTCAGCAGCACAGCGCCTGCCTGGCAAGTGCAAGGTCATGAGTTCAATTCCCGGTACCAGAAAAAAAAAGTAGTTTCATCAAACCACAAAAAGATAGAAAGGAAACTTAAATGCATATTGCTAAGTGAAAGAACGCAATCTGAAAAGGCTTAAACATATGATAGGACTCCAACTATATGACTTACAGGAAAAGGCAAAACTATTGAGAAAATAAAAAGATTAGTAGTTCCCAGGGGTTGAGGGAGCAAGGGAAGAACAGGAAAAGTGCAGAGGATTTTTCAGGCGCTGAAATTATTCTATATGACCAACAATGATGGATAATTGCTGTTACACACTTCTCTAAACCCACAGAATGTGCACCGCCAGGAATGAATCCTAATATAAACTATAGGCTTTGGGTGATAATGATGTGTCAAGGTAGGTTCATTAATCATAACAAATACACCAGTCAGGGGTTGATGGTGAGGGACACAGCTGTACATGTGTGGAGGAAGGGATCATGTGGGATTCACTATCCTTTCCATTTAATTATCCTGTGACACTAAAGCATCCTGTTCGTCTCTGGCTCCCTCAACCCCTGGCAACTACTAATCCTCTAAAATAAAGTTTACTAGTTAAGGATTAGATAGATAGGTAGATAGATAGACAGACAGATACAGACACAGATGGACAGACAGATCACAATATGATTTTAGGTAAAAGGTTTTTTTGTTCACCTCAACAGACTTGGTAGACGCAACCTTTCTGTAGAAAACACACCCATATATTTGCTTATGAGCCAATTTACAGTTCCTCTACTTCATCAGCCTTTTGTTGTCTCTCACTCAAGAAATCACAGGAAAATGCTCATCATTGAGGGTATTGTCAAAATAAAGGCTATTAAACTGTACTGACCACTTAGTGTAATGTAATGTAAGACCACTTCATTCAGTTATTTATCCCTCAACCTGATATCAGGCACCTCCTCTATGTCAGGCACTCAGCTTGGTGCTGTGGATCTAAAATTGACATGGTTAGAGCCGGGTATGGTGACATGCCTGTAACCCCAGCATCTAGTGAGGCTGAGGCAGGAGAATCGTTGCAAGTTCGAGGCCAGCCTGGGCTACAAAGTGAGCTCAAGGCCAGCCTGAACTGCATAGTGAGACCCTGTCTCAGAAAGACAAATAAATAAATAATAAATTTTTTAAAAAATGAAATCGACATGGCCTATTTCCTCTGGAGTTTTTAAATTCATGGTTTAGATGCAGAGTAAGGGGAGCTGGACCAGTGTCTTCTGCCAGGCAAACAGTGGGATCTTCCCCTTTCTGGGGTGGGAATCTGTCTTGGTTCAAAGTGGCCAAGATTTCTAAAAGGTGGCCAAAGTCATAGCACTGAAGCAATTAACAGCTTCTTCAAGGACAGAGCACCCTTTGCCCCCAACACATAGCCTGCTTCAGTCCTGGATAAACAGCTTGGCATCCACATGTAGACTTGGCCTCTGGTCAGCCTGTCCTGGGACATCCCTGGCCTCAGCTCATATCCAAGCTTGGCTGGGAAGCAGAGCTGGGTCAGAGCAAATATCAGCATCTCCAAGAGCAGGCAGTGAAGTTCCCAGAGGGGAGATGGAGATCCCATGTTTACTGATACACTGCAGGGTGTCCTGCGGGGGAAACTCAGAATAGCAGTAATAACAGTGAAAATAATTTTAGTTAATATTCATTGAGCTCTAACCACATGCTAGGTACTATGCAAAATACTTACCATGAATAATCTTTCTTCATTCCTCATAAAATTTTTATGGGCTAGATACTATTATAAGCTTTTTAAAACACATAGGAGGGAAACTGAGGCTTGGAGTAGTTGAGAAACTCAGCTACTAAGTGGTAGCATCAGCATTCCAATACAAATCTGTCCCCAAAACTGAACGTTACCTGCATAATATAATATATGCAGACAGCCATAGTAAATAATTTAGAACATACCTTGCATTTGGAGATATAAACGATGGTTAAATCTGTAGCTATTTGTGTCATGCCAGCTACAGGCAGAGGGCTCAGTAAGTATGACCTGAGTAGAAGGTGCATCAGCTTTAAATCAAGGGAACCATCAAACTGAACATAGGGAGCTAAAGAGGTGACGGGGACATGGACTTTGGAGATGAGCGGGTCAGAGCTTGGGATTCTGGGTGACCTTGATCGAGCACCTCACCGTTCTGAGTCTTCTCTATCAATTGGTCCAGCCTCATGAGGTTACGAGGAAGACTAAATGAAACGATGCTTGCGAAATGCCTGCCTTTTGAGTGCAAATGTCTGAAAATGTCTCCATCCATTTTTGGGGTACAATATCAATTCCTCCATCTGCAAAATGGGCTATACCCCAGTTCCCCAAACTTAAACCAACCATAGGTCACCTTCTTGATTTTTAACATATCTACAAACTAATTTGTTTCTTTTAAAAACTCACTTTTTCTATAAGTTAATTGAAAGAAAACTTACAGTGCTACCTGAAGCAGAAAATTACCATCCTTTGTCCTAAATGGAAGGCACCTGTAATATATATATACTTACTCGTAATTAGCTACTCTGGGACCTGCTCCTAGCCAGGGCTTCCTCATTAATGTAATCAGAGTGACTGACAAAGTCAAGAAAGGGACTAAATCTCTCAACATTGACCTGACATTATTTAGCATCATGCCCACTCCCAAGGACCTCCTGGCATGCTCTGCAGCAGCACCTGTGGTATGGGTTCCATACCCAGGAATGCTGAGCTGGACCATCTATCTACTTGTAGAGTCTTTTCTTTCTCTGTTCCTCTAATACCTATCTCCTGGCAAATCTTTCCAGGTAGAAAAAAGTGGAAAGAGGTTTCTGGGAGAACAGCATAGCCTAGGCAATGGCAAAGAGGTAAATACTAGGTCAAGATGTGCCCAGAGTGGTGGCCAGTAGAGTAGTAACAGACCTTCCTCCTCCTGCAGAGGATTTCAGTCACCATGTCTGGAGTGTGCTGAGGTGAAGAAGTCTAGTGCGGTTCCATCCACAGCCCAAAGCTCCCCTATGAAAGAGTGTTCCCGCAGCTCTTCCTATGCCAGCACCCGATCCTCCAGTCATTCCTCCAGATCTCCAAACCCCAGAGCCTCTCCTAGGTACACTCGGAGTCGATCCACCTCCTCTGAAAAAAGGTGAGTGCAGTTTGGCCTTTGCCCTGCTGAATTTCCTTCTCAGCATGAGTTAATGTAGCAGGAGATATCCTTTGATGCATGGAGGAAAAGAGTCAGACACGTGGAGTCAAGAAGAGACTTGAGCTTGACTGTTTTACCCAGTTGCTACCTGGTAGCCTTGGGAAAGTCAGTGAACCTCTCTGTTTTCTTACCCACAAAATAAAACAATGGATCATTCTGAGGACTACAAAGCACTTATAGCTGTGCTTGAAACATAATGAATTTTAATTATTTTTGTAGGTATTGGCCTGAGGATGAACTAGCTTCTGCTGCAGAAAAAGTTACTCCCAAAATTAGCATCCTTCAAACAAAATGTTTGCTTAGTCCTAAATGCTGTGGATCAGCAATTTGGGCTGGGCTCAGCCGGCCAGTTCTTCTGCTCGTGTTAGGCCCTGCCCTGTATCTTTGATCTGCTGCTGGCTTAGCTGGAGTCTGGTTGGATTGGATGACCCCTGATTAGTCATCTCTGCTCAATGCTGTCACCCACACAACAGGGCTATCTGCTTGTTCATGTGATGATGACAGGGGTATGAAAGAGTTTGTAAAGCATTCTTTAGTCTTGGGATTAGAAGTGACCTGGCATCCTTTTTGCTAGTCCCTTGGTTCTAGCGAGTCACTAGACCAGTACAAATGTAAGCATACTCCTCTTCATGGGAACAGCAGCAGATTCACACTGAAGGAGTTAGGGTACAGGGAGAAGAGCAGTTGTGGCTTATTTTGCATCCTATATTCTCTCTTCTAACTTCAATAACCGTTGGTAATTCCTTGATTATCTCATATGAATAATGATGTACTACAATATATAGCTATGAGATCTCAGGAGTTAAAGAATTAAAAGATTTTATTCAATCTAATCAACCCATGTCTTCCCTGGACTCCATGCAAACAAAAAAATTCCCAACAGCAGGCTGATTATTCCTTTTCTGCAACCATACAGTAAAAGAAAACAAAACAAAACAAAACAAAAAAAATGCTTACTTAATTGGTTATTTCGAGACTGTCCATTCCAGAAAATAAAGCAATGCAGCTAACAATAATATTCAACATGATAGCATTATGACACGAGTAAGGACAGCAGATTAGACTAAAAGGAAAATTAAGGAGAGATAAAAAATGATGCCAGGAGAAAAGGACCAAAAGTCATGTCCTTTACTATATAGTTGCTATGGGGGTGGACAGCAAATGTGAGGCTGAGCTCCCTAGCAGACAAAGCAAGGAGAAAAATTGCTACCTTGTTACATTATTACCCAAAATTTAAAAATAAAAGAATTGAACCAGTTGCTTGGAAATGCAGTTATTTCTGATTTTAAATTTATAAAAATGACTCATATAGATCCACAGAAAAGAGACACTATATAGTAGAATGAATGGATGGAAAGGCCTGACCATATTTTTCCCAGATGTCTACAAACATGCTGCATTTTGACTTTTCCTTGTAATAGTCCTGAATTCACAAAAAGTAAGTTAGGAAAAGCAACTTTTCAAGGAGTTACAGCTAGACATTGGCCTAGGACACTGAGATTGAATGAGCTATTCCTTCTCTACAGTGCTATCTAGATGAGGGAGGCAGTAGCAGAGAGAAAAGAAAACCAAGAGAAGCAGAGGAATTAGTAATACAGAGTAACCCCTCGCACACACACACAAACCTTAACCTCAGACCGTGTTCCAGTACCCCCGGTGGATGCCTGCAAATATCGATAGTACCAAGCCCTATAATGAAATGTTTCCATCTTAGTAAGCTGTAATCATACTGTGATGTTAACTCTTGCAGTTTCAGAGGTGGCAGCAAAGCTAGCAGGTATTTATTTTTCCTTCCCTGTAATTTCAGAGAGAGAAGATTCAGTGTTACCATAGATTTTAGCATATGGGGCATATTTTTCTTTTTAGCAAGCCAAGAGCACTCACCTTCCCACTTAAAGAAAGCCCACTACAGTTCCTCATTGGCATATCTGAACTGCCCCATCATGTCTTACACTTGGGAGCCATAATTAAGTAAATAAGGGTGGTGTGCACACAAGCACGGTAATGCTGTGCTAGTAGACTTGATGATGAGAAGACTTCTAAGTGATTAACAGGCAGGCAGCATATACATTGTGGATACTCTGGGATTAAGTGATGACTCACATCAAGAGAGTTCATTGTGCTACTCAGAACAGCATGCAGGGGGCTGGGGATTTAGCTCAGTGGCAAAGCGCCTGCCTGGCAAGCACAAGGTCGTGAGTTCGGTTCCCAGTACCGGAGAAAAAAAAAAAAAAAAAAAAAAAAAAAAAGAACAGCATGCAGTTTAAAATGGATGAATTGGGCTGGGGATATAGCTCAGAGGCACAAGCACCTGCCTGGCAAGTGTAAGGTCCTGAGTTTGATTCCTGATGTGTTAAGAGTTAAATGAGATATATATAAAGCATTAGTTCAATGTCTAGCACATAGTAAATACACAACAGTAATAGTCAACATTTCTCTTCTGCTGGCTAATTGTTACTTAGCATACATGCCAATATGTCTAGTGATTTACTGTAATTTACACATCTGATTTATGACTTTTTAGGGTAAGTACTATTATTACTACCCCCATGTTACAGATGATAAAACAGAAGCCCAGAGAAGTGCAATCCCCTGCCCACAGTCGCACAGTTAATAGCTAGGATAGCAAGCACTCAGAAAGAAGTTGTCCATATTATTAAGCTGCCAAAGGGGAGGGAATTTTATTCTCTGGTTAAGGGCCAGGTTTCTGCTCCACTGGGCTTCCAGAAAGAAAAAGATCATTGTCTTGGGACCAGGTGAGTAAAACCTTACCGCTTCCCCAGGTCCTACTCCCGCTCTCCCAGCTACTCCTCCAAGTCTGGCAAGAGAAGCCCGCCTAGCAGAAGCTCTCGGTCTCGCCGCAGCCCCAGCTACTCCCGCTACAGCCCCAGCAGGTACTGGCCCCGCCCCGCCCTGGCCCCGCCTCCAGAATAGGCCCCGCCTCCTAAATCACACCATTTGCCCTGATCATCGGCTCCGCCCTTGTCTCCCAGCCGCGCCTCTCCCGACCCCTCCCCCAAGCCCAGCCTGCCCAGTTTCTCTTTCTAGCCCTGCAGAAACTGGGAGCCGGTTCAGCTTCCTTACAGTTCTTCGTCCACTCTGGAGCGGCAGGAAGGCCTAAATATCCTGTGTCCTAATGTCCACCCCAAGCACTCCCATAGCCTCTTCCTCCTCACCTTTCGTCCCTGTGTTCAGAGCCCCCAGTTCTTACCACACATCCCAAGGAGCCAGTGACATATCCTCACCCCTGCAATGTCTGTACTTCTATAAAGCCCATGCACGAAGGCTGGCACCCCCTAAATACACCCACCCACCCCAACCCTCGCGCACACACGGCGCTCATGCACAGGGACTTACCCCACAGCGGGTCATCCTCAGGTGCTGCCTCGCTGAGGCTCCAGCAGATTCCTGCCATAGTGCAGTCAGGGGGCAGGTGCACGTATGTAGGACCCCAAGTAGGACTACTCACACAGAAAAGCCCTCCCAGCCCCAGCTTCCCGATAACACCCCCTGCACCCCTCCAGGGAACGGGACCCCAAGTACAGCGAGGACTCGCAGCAGAGGGAGCGCGAGCGCGCGCGCCGGAGACGTCGGTCCTACTCGCCCATGAGGAAGCGCCGGAGAGACTCCCCGAGCCACCTGGAAGCCCGCAGGATAACAAGGTGAGGCCCCGCAGAGCAGAGGCTTCGCGCCTTCTCCCTTGTTCCCACCCCGCC